GAAGTCTAGACAAAATAATAGTTTAAAAAAAAAAAGGAAAAAGAAACCAAAACCACAGATGAAGCTTATAGTTAAAAGTGATGGTTGAAAGCACCTGCTTTCACCTGCCTGTAAGCTGTACGTCCTCTGACAAGTTAACCTCTTTGTGCCTCCGTTTCCCCTTGCTGCTAAGTGGGGATGATCACAGTACCGCTTCCTGGAAGGAAACTTACTGATCCCCAGCCACTGTCCCCAGCCCTCCCTCAGCTCGGGGGTGGGGGTGGGGGGGTTACATGGCCCGCAGTGTCTGCGCTGGCTTCCCAGGCTGTGCTCTCACCATCCCGCATTCTGCCTGCCACCAGTGCTTAACAGGGCGCTTGACTAGCTACCTGCACCACTAAATGCTTTGGCAATGCCGCCTGGCTCTACCATACCTTTCCTACCCCTCCTTTTTAATTGTGTCAGAGTACCTAAAGAGATAACATTTGGAGTTAGTTCCTCTACTGAAGGAGCCATGTTATGCAGCATCTTGACCTTTCAGAATATATTACTTAAAAAAAACTTTTTAAATTAAAAATACTTTTTACAAAAGCTGTCTAATAAGAGGTACAAAAACCACAATTCTCTTTCCTTACCTGGGCGTAGCCATGAATCTGGGGGAAACCAGTAGAACCCCTCCAGCATCACACTGCTTCCCCAAATTCAGAGTGCTGTGTATTAAAGGGTGTGACCTCATGCTTCCATCTTCTTAATTGGCTTCCTGATAAACAAACAAACAAACAGTATCCCCTTTCACCCATACTGAATTGGGATGGCTGCCAAGAAACTAGACTCCACCTGACGCCTGCCTGGGACACTGAACCAACGGCCATTCCTTTTAATTGGTCCCTGGGGTGGGCTGCAAGCTTATTTACAGCAGCGAACAGGTGGGAATTGGCTTTTGCCCCCAGTGGCCTTCCCTGGCTGCTCTGGGAAGCTGGGGCCACCTTGTTTTGCAGGGGATGCAGAAGGCTTTGCACTGAACCTTATTTTGAGACAAAGGTAGACAAAACAAAAATCCAAGTTTGAAAGCAATTAACCAGTTTCTTATATTCTCACTGTTAATGTTTTTTCCACCCTCCTCTGGGGAACAGCTTCCCTGGTTCATGTCACTTATCTAGCCCTTGTACCAAGAAAGCTTTGCTTGTCCATCACAGTTATAAACAAGGCCATTAGGTCACTAGAAATGCCCACATTTGTAAAGTTGGTTGCTGCTAAGCTCAAACTCTGTTATCAGCATAACTAACGTGGTCTGGGTATCTAACTTGTGTCTACTGATGCTAACATATCATGCCTCCAGACGCCTCAACTGCTAAGACTGCCTGTTTTTAACAATGCTACTTTTCTGATAGCAAAGCTGCAAATTTTATTTACTTTCTTTCAGGATTTGATATTAGCCATTTCTGTTTTAACTGCATCTGGAGTATGTCTTGGAATTTTCACTTTCCCGTAATTCACTTATTTTCTTTTGTCCTAAAAATGCCTCTAATTCCGCAATTAATAAAAAAAAAGGAGAGACATAAGCTATTTTTACTTTGCCACAGTGAGATGTCTGTGAGTGTATTTGTCACCACCCTAGGGAAACACACACACACATTCTCATTCTTGAAAATGAGAACAATTTAGAGGAGTATGGATTTTGAGGTCCGACATCTGCACTTTTATTTCTTTTTCCACTGTAAAAACAAATGGTCTCTAACACTTGCCGAAGTCAGACACAATCTTTAGGCCAATGAAATATACTAAGCCTGGGAACGAATAAGGCAACTCAAGAGAGATGTCTTCTTTAAGAAAAAGCACAGTGATCTTCCTTACAAGTTAGGTTCCCGGGAGGAAAATATTTGTAATCATATTTGACTCTGGGATTAAGAGGGCAAGGTGTGACCCCCTTCCAGTGAACCAGAAAGCAAGCAGCAGTGCGCACGTGTTCTCACCAGGGAGGACACGTGGGGTTGCCAAGATGACAGTATCCCAAGACCTAAAATAGTTCTTGTTTTGAACCAAACATAAAACGTTGTGGGATTTGTTTTAAATTTCTTATTGGCAAGCTGTGACTTCCTGCTTAAGCAAGAAGAAGGATTAAAAAGTCTTGTTTATTGTCTCTAACACAAACAGCAGAACAAAAAAACTCTTACAATGAATACGTACACTTGACATAAATGAGGTACAATCAAACTGGCCACATTCCTCTTGGGAGATGGAGAAAATAAATCAATCAGCAAGAAGTACTGGTGATTACAATAATAATAATAATAAATAATAATAACTCTCCTCTATGTCAAACATCACTGCTCCCAGATCAGCTACTTTACCATAAAACAGAACTCTAGCCAGACTGCCTCTTGTCAAAGCACTGACAAGTTCTCCCAAAATGTCACTCTTCTAAGGTTCCTTCTGGGACTCACTCTCCCCTGTTACTTTGCCGTTTCGGCTTAATAGTCCAACAAGGGTGGAGACCCAGTTTCTTTAAACAGCTAGATGGTAAATATTTCAGGCGTTGTGGCCACGTGGTCTCCATCACAGTGACTCAGCCCTGCTGGTGTATCCTGAAAGCAACCATAGGTAATATGCAAATAAATGGGCGTGGCTTAGTACCGAGCATTATCTAACGGAAATTCACATTTCTTATAATGACCAACCACCTGTCACAAACTATTCTTCTTTTGATTTTTTTCAGCTATTTACAAACGTAAAAATTCTAGTCCACAGGGTGCACAGAAATAGGCAGTGGGCTGGGTTGAGGCTGTGGACTACAGTTTGCCAAACCCTGCCCTCGAATACAAGTTTTCTCCTGTAAGGAACAAGATACGGCTGGTGATAAAGTGATCCTGTGATATAGACGAACAAATTTTCAGTCAGATAGTTAAATGAGTAGATTTTAATTAAAATTAAAACAAAGATTAAGTAGCTCAGAATATTCCCTCAAAAAACTCATTGCTTTCCCTTTCTTCATTGGGTTCACCCAGAATTAAATTAGAAGTGCATTCTGAATAAATGTGCCAGGCATTTTTGTCTTCAAAATGATAGTATTTATGATTTTTACTACTGTGGAATTAGCTCACTGAAGCAGTTATCAATTAAATTTTTTTCTCATCCATCTATATGCAATTGCTGGTTGTCCTAGGTGAGAATTGGCTCCAGGACCCAGGTGAGAAAGGCTTTTGAAGCTATACTTCATTTTTTTGGAGGTTTCAGATGCTGTATATTCATATTTTTAACCTTCCTACTAAAGCTTTGCTCTCAAATGCTTATAGCATTTACTTACTTAAAAAAAGCAACTGAGACTTGTATAACTTTCTGAAACAGCCATTTAAAACCATTTAAAACAATCAGGGAAAATGTTAGTGACCAGCATTCCATGGGAAACTGGTATAGAAAGATACTAGCTTTTATAACTGTATCTACGAAATATGAATGAATAGCTTGAAAATTAATGTTTTAAATTTTCTGGCAGTCTGCTGTGATACATCATCGGGTAATGCTTTCCTTACATTTTATAGGAGAAAGTTTTGCCTCTATTTTTCTTCTTATACTTTTCTCTTTGATTTTTGCTAAGTCTCGATTTTTTTTTTTAAAGGACCACATCTCCTCAACTGAAAAGCAACAACTTCAGCTACAGGAATTGTTTTATTTATTAAAATCCAGTAGCTTGCTAGCCCTATTGTTTACATACTGGATTTTTCTTTCAAAGTTCACAAATATCTTGGGAATGGTTAGAACAGTTGTGTTCTTAACACTGAGGAAATGCCTGTGTTGATAAATGAGGCCAGATGGAGGATGCAGCAGAGCGCTTAACAGCCTCCTGGTTGAAGGAAGGGAGGACCACACTGAAAACACACTCCAGGCTCCCTATTTAAATATAAACAATACTTTTCTTTTTTTTCTTTGTTGGATTCAAAGGCAGTTTTGGTGTTAGAACTGAGTGCCATGTGGCTGAGTAGATCTGAGGAAGGTTTAGAAATCCGACAACATATTTACCGGCAATCTGATTGCCTACCTAGTTCTGTGATAATTGACTTTAGAAGCTATCAGACTTCATAAATGTGGCTGGATGTGAGATTGGTATTTACTCAAGCTTGTGGTTTTCTTATATACCATCAATAACCGATTAGAAAATGTAATTAGAGAAAAGAAAGAGCCACTCAATGTAGCCAACAAATATCAGAAATGTGTAGGAATAAATCAAACAAGACATGGATGAAATCCATCTGTAAGACCTGTAGAACTTTGGGGGAAAAAAAAAGTAAAAGACCCAACTAAACCAAGGTATGCAATATTCTCTGATGGGAGGACTCAAAACTTTAAAGATGTTACTGTCCTGTAAATTAATGTTCAAAACTAGATGCAATCTCAGTCAAACCCCAGTCTCCTTAATTAGCTGGTTGCACTATTTGATAAGGGAGGGCTTGTCCTCCCAGATACCGAAACTTGTGATAAAGCTTGATAATTAAAATAGTGTGGTATTGTAGAAATAGTAAAATGGTTAATAAAACGA